CCCATTGAGCATCTCTGGAGAGACCTGAAAATGGCTGTCCACCAATGTTTACCATCCAACCTGACAGAACTGGAGAGGATCTGCAAGGAGGAATGGCAGAGGATCCCCAAATGCAGGTGTGAAAAACTTGTTGCATCATTCCTAAAAAGACTCATGGCTGTATTAGCTCAACAGGGTGCTTCTACTAAATACTGAGCAAAGGGTCTGAATACTTATGACCATGTGATATTTCAGTTTTTCTTTTTTAATAAATCTGCAAAAATGTCAAACATTCTGTGTTTTTCTGTCAATATGGGGTGCTGTGTGTACATTAATGAGGAAAAATATGAACTTAACTGATTTTAGCATATGGCTGCAATATAACAAAGAGTGAAAAATTTAAGGGGGTCTGAATACTTTCCATACCCACTGTATATACAGCCCCCAGGAGCAGCAGTATTCACTTGGAAGTTATTTCAGATGAACACCACACCACACCACACTGAGACAACAACACCTTGGACTTTGTTAACACATGATATATTAAATCAAACAGAATAAATTAGAAGATGTTACATTTATCTAGTTTTTCTTTTTAAAATACTTATATTTTAGTTTGTTGCCAGTTCAGTGACACCAATATGAAGCATGTGGTATCTTCAAATTACTGATAAACCATGACATACAAGAGAAAGTGGTCAAACACAGGCAGCAGTTTCCAACTTGTGCAGCACAAGTGAGCGGGGAATGAGAACGAGGGTGTGAAGATAGGTTGTAGTGTTTCATATTCAGTGAAATTCTTAGGAGCAAAACCCGACATGTATTTCAACCTTAAGGCATCATCTTCTGAAATCCCGCCCCCACAAACACTTTCCACAAACATTGGAAATGACCATTTGTGTAACACTTTGAAAGTGGCAAGCCCAAACAGTAGTTCTGCTTTTACACAGTGCTAAACCTACTGTTTGGTTCAGTCACATCAACCCTGTTTCAAGTAACAGCAAGCAGCACCCAATCAGTTCTCATATCTTTGATATGAACTTTGATTAGCACAAACTGAAAACAGGAAAATAGCTGACCTGACTGTCCAACAGAATAAACTAAATCTGCCTACCAGTACCTGTCATTAATAAGTAGTCTTGTTACCTTTGGACAGAGCCAGGCTTGTTGCTTCCAGTCTTTCTACTAAGCTAGCCAGCTGCTGGCTGTAGCTTCATTCTGAACAGACATATGTCGGTGTCTTCTCATCCAACTTCTCGCGAGAAAGTATATTTCCCACAATGTTGAACTTTTACCTTAAATTTGACAGTACCACAGAAGTTTGCATGTTATGGACATTTAAACTACTCAATTTCATAATGAATGCAAATAAAATATATGTTTTCTTCCTGTAGTTGTTTTTCAACACCACCTCTCTGTGCATGTATGAAGTCTGGACCTTCATCTATAGAACATCATCTTCTTCTTTCTTTCTTTTTCACTTTACGGACATTTTTAAAATTTGCTTAATACTTACTGACGTGATTATGACCCATGACTGAAAAGCAGCCCTTCCAGCAGCTTTAATTCTTCGGCCTACAGTGTTGTACTTGAGTTTACTGTGTATGCCTCCCAAAACAAGCTCAGTGAAGACAGCACACAAGGATAGAAGAGTGTTAAATACACCATCATTAATCCTACAGTGGATCTAAACAAGGCTGTATAATCAATACACCGATGTCAGCACTGAAAACGAATTGAGTTCATGGACTCCCACACAATCACACACCCACAAGTGACTATCCCCATCCCTCACACACTCACTGTCTGCTGCAGGTCAGGGATGATGACACGGATGACCAGCGAGTTGATGTGAATGTCGTCCATGTGGCTCAGCGGTGGCTCAGCAGTGGCCCTTATAGTCTCGTAAACGGTCTCTTCGCGGGAGCTGTCGGAGGCACAGTCATCGGAGTAGTCAGAAAAGCTTTGGGCCATCTCATCCTCACTGGAGGTGGGGCTCCGGGGCATAGTCAGCAGGCCCAGCGGATTCAGCTGCCAGACACAGAGGGAAAAAGGTCAAACTCTCAGAAACAGTTCATTAAAGAGGTGACCATTAAAGCTGAAGAATTCCCCCTGCTCCCATTAGGCACCTTAAGACGCTTTAGTGAGCCCCCAAAGATGGTGCTTGTTAGTTTACCCTCATCCATTCTGTGCTCACAGCCTGCTTCGGGAAACTCCCAGAGGAGAAAATGTGTCTGTGCATCTGCACCAAAAGGTTTCGCTTCCTTAAAGTTACTCTGGATGTGAATAAGAAAACTGAACATCCAAGCAATCGAACAAAAAGCCCTATTTTTAAAAATGTACCAGACCAAGCGACTGTAGTCTATTAAGCTGAGGTGTCAACATGATTTATGGATCATCAAATGAAACGTAACATCTCATCAGTCACTGCTTGCAACCATGCTACCGTGACTGACCTGGATAGAATTAAGACATTTTAAAACGCCTGAATATCTGATCAACCAATCTTAAAATTCACCAGGTTTCCCTGTTAGAGGTTAGTGTACCAGGACTTGTGGGTTGAAGATAAGACTTTAATTAAATATCCAGCAGCACTATCATTGTGCATGCCTGCAGACATTTGCCCTTAAAGATAATGAAATCAAAGTCAGAGCATTTTAAATTTCCATAACTCAACCTGATTTGGAGGAAAATGGAACAGAACTGCACAGAGCAAAAGTTATTTTGGGAGTTCAGGCTTCTGTAAGTAAAAGTCCCTCTCATTTAGACTACATTAGATGACTGGTCCTGACATGAATCATCAGTCCCTAAGATGAACCACTGTAGTAGAAAGTATCGGTGCAATGCTAAGAGACTTCCAGCTTATAATGTTATTGTGCACATTGCTAATAGAGCGCTGAAGCTAAAGATCACACTTTGTAGAAACCCGATACATTACAGTGTTGTCAGTGTTTTGCATGTTGCTGGCTCATGGTATCGTAATACTGTGAGTGAGTCATCATGACAAACCTGAGGACAAACACTCCTGCGTGTGTTGAGGAACACTGATATATCAGCAGATGTTTTGAGACCAGCATCTCCTCCCACATGAGAATTCTGATCAAGTCACTCGGGGATGTGATCTCTCCCATGTGGGTGCGACTTTGGGAACTCTGAGCCTCTATAGAAACACAGAGCAGGATACAACCATCTAGCAGACTGCAAAAGACTGCTCCCGTCCACCCACACCCACTCTCACTGGAGGATCAGGAGGTGGAGGAGGAGGGAGAAATGGATCATTTCCATCTGCTCAAACTACAACTTTGTAAGCAAGGTTTTGCCGACTGATGTCCAAACACACACCTCTGACATACAATATTGATTCAAAATAGTTTCCTGAGCCACAGTTTTATATAAAGTAAGAAGAAAATTTCTGATACTTCAGTACTAAAATATAACAGATTATGACATATAGCCATGGGTGGAGCCAAGGGGTGGCCAGGAGTGGCCCCGGTCGCAGAATTAGACTGGCCACCCCTGGTGCCACTCCTGCCAGATATTTAAGACACATTGTTATCTTAAATATAATCAACTTTGTGTGCTTTGCAATTGATAATGGTCAAATTAGTTTTGCTTTATATCATGCATGCAACATAATATTTCATTCACCTCAGTGGTGATTAATAAATTAGTTCATAAATAATCTGACATCAGAAATGCCAAACATTACGCAGCCACCAAAGTGAGGATCTGCTGCTTTCGTTCATTTCACATCACTGTAAACTGAATATTCTCCACAAGATATTTACATACAGTGGGTACGGAAAGTATTCAGACCCCCTTAAATTTTTCACTCTTTGTTATATTGCAGCCATATGCTAAAATCATTTAAGTTCATTTTTTTCCTCATTAATGTACACACAGCACCCCATATTGACAGAAAAACATA